TTATTCATGGGTAGTTTCCTTTGCCACAAGTACCCACGAACAGGGGTTTTGGCACCAACTTTCTCCATTGCCTCACATCAGAAGAGCTTGGTCCACAGCTTCTGCATCGGGTAGCCTCATCTTCTTTCGATCCAGAGCAAACTTTCCATTGGAGTGTGCTGCCACTATCTTCTCTCTATCCTTGATAATGGTGTGAATCGACCCTTGTGGGGAATGTCGAACTGACGACAAATCTCTGCCAGTGGAGCTTGCTTCTTGTCAACAGCCTGGATTATTTCGTATTTTTTGTCAATTGAAAGGCATTTTCTCGTGCGCTTGACATCGTTGGTGACACATTACGCGTGTGTGTTGCTAGATCTATGTTTCGGGCTAGATCGAGGTCTGCAGCACACCGCAGCCCTCTCTCGCTTCACACGCTGGGTGTGCTTGCAGTGGCATAGCTTGCATGGGCTTGCTCTATCACTGCGTTACTCTCTTTCTCTCTCTCTCTCTCTCTCTCTCTCTCTCTCTCTCTCTCCCTCCCTCCCTCTCTGTCTCTCTGTCTATATCTATCTATCTCTTTCTAACTCTTACACTCTCTCTCTCCCTCTCTGTTTGTCTCTCTTTCTCTCCATCCTGGGTGTACTTGCGTGTGTGTACGTTTGTGGGTGTGAGCGTATTCATGTGTTCATGTTCAGCTTTTTCGCAATGAGTTTTCACATATTTGTCCGTGTGTATGTGAGCCAATTCAATATGGTTTCGCTTCAACGTTTATTTTTATGTGAATGTGTCTTTGTGTGTATGTGTGCATTTGTGTGTGTGTGACTGTGTGTGTATGTGTGTGTGTTTGTGTATGTGTGTGTGTGTTTGAGTGTATCTATGAATGTGTCTATTTGTGTTCTTTTTAAAAAGACATATTTGGGGGGCAGGGCGACGGAAGGGAAAAGGTTGGGTAATATAACATGTATACGTCAGATGACTTGCCAAATATTATCATTTTACAGTTTTCTGTATACCTACGAGAGCGTTGAGATATGTCTTTGTGAGTGTGTTTGTGTGTGTGACTGTGTGAATGTGAGTGTGTGTGTGGTGTG